AGGCATCTGAGATCTTTGGATGGGTGATGGCCGAATTGAAGGGAACCGTGTGTGACTTCCGAGTTCAGTGGGGCAGCAGGAATTTCTCAAGGCACTCAGAGCCTTCTCAGTATTCACTGGCTAGCCAGCTTTTTTAGCCCAGTGCCAGACTGGCACTACCTGACCTGGCTCATGTCTGTGCTGGTCACGGACTCTCCAAGATGCAGACAAGCAGGACACCGCATTCCAGGAGCTACTACTGGTGGAGTCTGCAAACCACTCAGTCCCCGATCTCTGGTACTGCCTGGTCTGGGCTTTGGTTTGACTGGCTTTTCAAACTTGACCTTAAAAAGGTTTAGAAACCTTTGCTCAACTAGGAGACTAGAGGAACCCACTATTCAGAATCTGCCAAACTAGAAGGCAGGTAACTACTCTGCAGGATTAGTCAACTGGGGGAAACACAACCAAGGGGCTCTTGGGGTGGGTCTGCCATGATGTTCTCAAGGGAGCCCCATCCTCCCACTTGCTGAAAGGCCCAGCCCCTGGCTGAGGCCCACAGCTGGTCCATTTCCTGTAGCTGAGAAGCAGACGTGCTGCTGCCTGTGGAGTGGGGATCAGCTACTAACTCAAGCAAATGTCTCCCGAGCCTGCTTCCTTACCAGCTGACGGTGGAGTCAACACAATGAGCAGAGATGTGAAAGCACCTAGTGATCCCTCCATCTTACTCAATGCAGGGAGCAGAGCAGCTTCCAGTGGGGCACCCAGGCCCTGCAGGGGAGGACACTGCTTCCTTGTCCCTTCCACAGCCACAGAAAAGAGGGACTGTCGCTTCCCACCACAGGAGAGGAAAGCCTGGGAAATCCTTGGCTTCTCTCTGTGCCGTCTCACTTACTCCTGCCCAGAGGAGTGCTTCCCTGGAGAACTTCCTTGGGGCAATGTAAGCCCGCTCTAGTGTGTTGCAGGAGGTCACTGAGAGGACATGCCAGCTGACCCGAGAGCTGGGTGTGGGCTTTCAGAAGCTACTCAAGTCCCCACCCCGCCCCCCATCCTTGGAATGTGCACTCTTCCTGCCATTCCCATGGTGGGAGCCATTTTCAAGGACGTGGCCTTAAGAGACCATCTGGGTGGAATATGTGACCAAATCCCATTAGGGCCTCTATATAAACTTTTAAGATTTCAGTGGTGAGTGCGGAGACCTATTCGTCTCCTGGATGCCGAGGACAGGACTCGTGAGTAATCACTTCCCTTGCTTGCTAACCCAGCCACCTAGCAGTCTGGACAGGCCTCCTTTCGCTTTGCTCTCTCCCTGCCCTCTGTTATGAGGCCCGTGTGTGAACCCGGTGTGTGCCCTTCTGGCTCCTGCCTGAGTGCTGCCTGCAACTGTCCCCTTCTCCTGGCGGAGTAGCTCAGTCTTCTTAGTTCTGAGGGGAAGTCTGAGCAAGCCCACTTGGTTTCACGTCTAAATAGTACCCCCTTTCAGGAAAGAAGCCGGCATTTTTGTCCTTTGACTCTCTCCTATGCCTTATTTCATGATTCTGTACTTGAGAGGTAGAAAAAATGTTATTCAAAGCCTCTCTAAACCTAACCATTTTCCGAGGTAGGAATAAGTATTCTCCAAAAGTTATTTGAGAGTTTAAGTTCTGTGAAGAAAACAGGCATGATAAGGGTTCAGAGGCTAACTAAAATCCATCTGTTCTGCTCTTGTCTAGAACTATCAACGTGGTTCCTTACTGGCTCTGAGTAGCGTTATGAACGTCCACTTTAGAAAACAAATGTGTTGTTCAATTTGTTGAGCAAACACTTTTTAAGTATAGGGTCCAACTTGGGCCCTGGGGGTGAGGAGATTGCCTCTGAGGGGCCCTCGGAGTGTCCTGTGGTCACCTGTCTTGCTCTGGATTGAGACTGTCCATTTGTTGGTCTGTCTCCCTCTTAGTGCGACTCAAGGACTTAAAAAAAATATATATATGGTAGGTCTCCATACATGGAGGAGTAGATGCAGAAATAAATGGAGGAGGGTTACAGCTTCAAAGGAGGAGGCTCCAGTGAGGCAGAGGGAGGCAAGCCAGCACCTTCTCTCCCCTGGCAGAGGCTCCCCTCTCGCTGCCCCCTCCCCACCAGCCGCTGTCCGAGGACTCCCTGACTGATGTCCCCACGGAGCGCCCCTGGCTGGCTGAGTGGGCGCTGGATCTGTGAGGCCGAGGGACTGACGCAACAATCTCAACAGTTTCTGTCCTCGCAGACAGTGAAGGGTTCTTAAAGAATTAAACCCACAGGAAGGCATACTCAAGGCTGGACTCTTTCTGAGGTCAGTATGCATGGTCTGGCCAGTGCGAATGATTCTGATGAGACACACCAGCTTTGCCAGACACAGCAAAGAGCTGTGGTCTCTGCTTGGTGTGGAACCGCAGTCAGAGTGTCCTGTTTCTGTGATGGTGATGCAGCCCTGGGAGGGTCCCTTCAAGTCCCCGAGCTCTAACTCTGTGACCATAAAGTGTGGAGAAGGATCCCTTCTTCAAAGGGTGGTGGCAGAGATGACACGTTTCCGGAAGGAGAACATACACTGTTGGGGCTACATGAGTGGTTTAGGTGATACACGGGTGGTCACTTGAGTACATTTTTTTGATATGTCTTAGGAAAAACTTGGACTGGCATATCACCCCTATGATTCTGCCAATGCCATTGTTTAAGATGAAGCTAAAGTTGGTACAGATGTAGGTCTTAGTCTGTTTAAAGGAAAATGTCAACCAAAAAGTAGCACAGGTAGTAGAAGAGTGTGGCAAAATTTCTGAAATGGAACTCAGAAGACTGTCCTTTGAAGAGTGTGATGTCCCTATACTCAACGCCTGCCAGCAGCAGGTGCTCTTGAGACGCGCCTGTTCCGGCCCAGAGCCAGACAACCCAGAGCCTGGGGAAGGGCTGAAGGACGACCGAGCTGGGGGCGGCACTGGAAAGAGTGAAAAGAAAGGGCCTGTGGTTCCTGGCCCATCCCCCCGCAGCTAATCCGTCAGCTAATGAAGAAGCGGCCGGCACCAGCGAGCTAGCTGGCAGTTCACTTACAGCAAACTGATTAGGAATGTTCAACCAACAGCAGACTGTAGACCTTTCCAGAGAAAATAAATAGAGTGTAGACTGTATGCAAATGTGTTTGTCACTTTGACAGCACGTCTCAATTAAGGCATCTCGCGGCTGTGGGTAGGCTCTGCGGCTGCAGCTGTAAGGGAAAGCCCGCTGCATGGCTGATACTCGGGGCTTGACCTTAATCCGCATGCATGCATTAAAAACCCTGCCTTCCTGTACACTTGCATAATGCTGGCAGCCACGTGAGGGAAGTGACAAACGGGAAAAAAAGCCACTTTCATCCTCTCCAGTTTACAGACCTGTGAAGGCACAGACAGCTCTTATTTCAACAGAGTTTGGGGTGGCTTTTTTAATTGTTTATCCCCCACCCGCACACACACACTCTTATTCTGCATTTAGCTGGGAATGACATGAAAGCATCTCTACTTCTTGCTGAAATGGAAAGAAGGTCTTTCTCCATTTCAAATAGGGCCTCCTTTTTTGTGTTTCGAAAATGGAATGTTTAACACCATGAAGTCCCTCTCCCCCGCCCCCTCTTTCTCTGTAATGGGCTCCAAACTCCAGCGAGGGGCTCTTTTCATGGGAAGGTTCGTGTGTGCAGGAATGAGGACAAAGGAAGGCAGGAAGCTGGCGCTGGAAAGCCGTGCTGGCGACCACGGGGGCTGGGCTTTCAGCAAACCCAGCCAGGGAACTGGGGCACAGGTTTCTCCAGCAGGGCCTGAGCCGTGAGGAGGCAGCTCCTCAGGGGTGCACACACAACTCGATTTGAGGATAATCATTAAGCAAATGAGCAGTGCCCCGTGGATGCTTCTTTCTTATGCTCTATTTCAATTTTTATGACATCCCTTTTAAGTGTAAAATCAGGAAAGAGGGGAGTGAACCTCTCCAAGTTTAAGATGTATGAATGTATAATCTAAAACTATTGATTACAGAGGAAGATTCTTATGTTTTAACAAACTCACACCTTATAATCACAACCCACAGCAACAATTTCCTTAGTTCTCTTCATTTCAAAATAGCTCTATGCCTGCCACATAATGGGCACTTGATAAATGTGTTAAAAAAGGAATTTTTAAGTGTATGCTTCTGGTTCCTTCATGTAAAAATATAGTAATCACATTTAAAATAAAATCATAAAGATTATTTTTTAATCATGCTTCATCTAATAAATGGCTAAAAAATCAGGTGATTTCAGAGTAAATAACCTTGCAGTCTTATTACAGTCAGATCTTGCTAACACCATTTCTTATAAACCAAGAAATCATGACTTTTATGAATCAAGAGAGACAATTCAAGAGAAGTAGGGGAGTGAATATGATCTTTTTCAACCAAAAATGTAATCACTGATAAGAAATGGGTAAAAAAATTTCAGTTTCTATACAGAGTACAATGTTTTTACTTAAGAGAAAAAAATCAAACAAAAAGACAATTTTTCAAATCCTCAGGTCGTCGAAATAGTTGGTTAAAAAATCGGATCTCTAGAACTGCATTGTGGGTGTTTAAGAAGCACGACTCCCGATATTGATTTTCAGGAAGTACATTAATAAAGAACTCCTAATTGATTTTTTTTAAGACTTCGCTTGTTGCCTTTTATTTGAAGGTGCAAAGAAGGGTCTGGGATGCTAAAGTGTTCTAATGAGATGCTTAGCTAACAGAGGCACCTTAAACAGAGTGCCTTGGGGTGGGGAGGCAGCAGCTGCATTTAATGACTTCATTCAAGAATTCAGCTAGTTTATGACCAGAGCCATGCTGTCTCTGCTCATAATTTTTGAAAATTCACATTCAGAACATGTTTGTATCATATAAACATTCGAAGATGTGCAAACTCCATGGAGTTATTTTGCCAAAGAGGGCTGAAATGAAAAAAGCCACGGCTTCATGTGCCACAGCTTCTGCTGAAAAGCAAACCAACCCCAGACTGGTTAAAGGGCCAGGCTACATACCTGTCCAAAGTGGACTGTGATTGGCCTTCGGTCTTCCCGGAGCTTAGGGTCCTTGGCCTCCACCAGGGGGGACGGTGCAATCTTTGGTAGCTGCTCTTCGAAGGTGGGGACACAGCCATTCTCTGCGATGTCCTGCAGGGAAAAGCCAGCCAGGGGTTGGTGTCAGGGTCCTGGCACCTGCCGTGAGCAAAGGTGGTCCCTCCAACCCCAGAGCTAAGCGCTGGGTCAGGGGACTCCCTCTGGGACATTCACAGCCTATCCTCCTGCTAGAGATGAAGGGGCTGGAAGGATAATGTGGCTGTTTGACCCATAAGGACTACAGAAACCTACCCCATACACATTAAATTACAAAGACAACATAATAATTTATAATACTGGGGGGGAACCTTTCATCCTTCTACTTTACAGGGCTATTTTCATTTTTATATATTCACTTGGCCACATGCAGACATTTAAAAATTACTTGCAATCACAGCTCGTGCATAATTTTACATTCTATTTTTTCCTACTGTATTATAAGCATCTCCATGGTGTTGCATAGTCATTACAATGATAATTTTAATGGATGCATAATATTTCATTAAATGGCTATACGGTAATTTAATAAACCATTCTACTACCATCAAGCGTTTAGGTGGTTGCTTTTCCCACTAACCACCACAGTCGTAAACACTGCAATTTTTCTTTCTTTTGAATTATTTCTTTAATGGAAATCCTTAGGAATGAAATTACTAGGTCAAAAGATATAACCATTTTTAAGGCTTTTTATTCACTCTACCAATTTGCTTTCCAATTTACACCAGCAGCAGCACTGGATGCGTTAAGAGTTTCATGGTACTCGTTAGCCTTATCGTTTAAAAAATGTATCGCTAATTTGAGAGGTGAAAAATGAGACCTCATTGTGGTTATTTGAGACCGAGGCCATTCCTCCCACATTTGCTTACCGGGGGGTGGTGCTGCTTGTGAAAACCATGTGCTCTTGCTCCACTTCTTAGCCCTACCCTTTCTGGCAGACAATGAAGAGACTGAAGTCTGAGTTAGGATTCTATGACTTGGAGAAAATTTAGGGTACCAAGGTAATATTTTTAAATGCAGAAATTTATGTTTAATTTGAGCTTCTGATGAAGTCAGATTTTAAGGAAAGGAAAAGCCCCAGTGTGCAAAAGGCAGGTCATGGCCTCTTGGGCCAGTGCTGGCAGCTGACCAGACCCACAGCTCTGGGATGTGTGGACGGTGCCCACTTTTGCCACGAGGACTGCGTGCTTTATTCAAGTCCCAAAATTGCTTCAATCTTCATTGAAGCATGGCAGAGACAAAATAAACAGGTAAGATGCATTGAAATCATTATTTTTTTCTCCAAGTAAAAGTAACTCATAGAAATAATAAATACAATTTGCAATTCTTCTAATTGCAAAAATATACATTTTGATTAACAAAACACAGCTCTGGCACTCATTAAATTCTGCATATAAGGACTTAACCATTGGTTACTTTTAACTTCTCAGCCAAATAGAGATGGTGGCATATGGTGCAAAGTGGTCCCTTACTGAATAATAATGTATTAGGGATGAAACATGTAACATCTGTGAACTTCAATCTCCATATCTGTAAAATGGGGATATGATAGTTACGAAGTATAAAGGGTCATGTAACATAAAAGTGTCTAGAGCATTAATAATGGTCTGTGCATGGTACTCAATAAATGTCAGGAATTGCTGTGTGTATGTGTGTGTTAAGTCCGCCCCACACACCCAGCTGCAGACTCTGTACTGCTTGGTACCAAAGCAGTGGGAGGAGGACCTCTTGGTTTTGCAGGCAGGGCTTACGTCAAGTGGCCCACAAGCCTCGGCCTGGCTGAGTGAGGCTCAGTGAGGAGGGAGGTTGCCGACAGCCAATTGGAAATGGCTCTTTTGGAAAGAGGCCTCCCCTAAGGTGCTCAGGTCAAGTGGAACAAAGAGGGTTGGAGCTATTTCTGTGCCAGAGAGTAACAAAGGGTTAAAGGGGCATTTTGGATCCAGTGGGTTTACTTAGACAGACATAAGAGGTTGAATAAAGCCAACCAGTAAAAACAAAAGAAACGAACTATTTTTGTTCAGGAAAAATACTGCAAGTGTGTGTGAATGATTGGTTGAAAAAAAGAAAGGAATGGAACAGTAAGGCAACATGGTAAGAAAATACCGATGATGATAAAAACTATACGACAATAGCTATTTAAAAAAAGGTATGTGGTAGTTTTGGGGGAAATGTCTTAGTTTAAGCTTACAGGTAACACCATCTCCTAGTTTTGTTTTTCACCACCTACTAGCTGTCTGATCTTTGCAATTCACTCAACCTCTCTACAACCTATTTCTTATTTTTACAATGGGAAGACCACCTCCTGCTTGGGAAACTTCAAAGCCACTGGGACAATGGGTTAAATGAGATGAGATGTGAGGAAGCTTTGAAAAATGTTACAATACTGTGCAAACCGAATGTTAGATCCTTATTCCTGCAACATGGGAAGCACACCATCTAAAAAGAGCTGCCCTGTGGTGAGCGCCTCCTACTGGCAGGCACTGTTCCAGCCCCTTGACCTTCACATTTAGTTTCCACAAATACTGAGAGGTAATAGGAATATCATGCTTTTATAGGAGAGGAAACACCATGTGGCTCAGAGAGGGCGACTTCCCCAAGGCTACACAGCTAGAAAGTAGAAGAACCCAGAGCTATGTGATTTCTGGCATTTAAACCCTGTCAACCTTAACAATAGCACAACAGAAGGTTTTCTGAGTCCAGAAGGCACTCAGCAAGTCAGCAGCTGTGATCTTCTCAGAAGCCCTGTCTCTGACATGAGCTCGCGCTGCCACGCCTCATGGTGTCTGGGCACACACTTATCTTCTTATCCCTGTAGACTGTGAACTCCTTGGGGTTTGGGTTCTCTGCCCCAGAGCCTTGAACACAGTACATGCTCTCCATCAATCTTTGTAAAGCTGAGTTGCACATTTGGAAGGCAAATGTGTCCAATATACAAATGTGCTTGTGCGTCAAAAAAGTAGTGCAGCACATTAATTTTATTTAGTTAGAAGACTCAAAGGTGCGAAAGGCTTCTTGCAAAGCCCCAAGGCTATATCCCCACCAATTTATTAACTTCTGCATTATTTCTTCTCCCTAGGGAAGGACAACTGTCTCCTCCCCGGAGAGCTGAGTGTGGGGGGAGCCCCAGTCAAGGAAGATATAGGGCTGCTGAGCGTCCTTTACTGTGTCTGTTAGCAGAGGTCTTAGGCAGAGCAGGGATCCAGTAATGGCAAGTCTTGGGACCCATGAGGAAAGAAACTGGCCTGAGAGCTCACTGGGAAGCTGCCAGTACAGAGTATGGGGGAAAGGCAGCAATACAAATACAAACTCCTGTGGGAATATAAATTCGCAATTTATATCAAAACCCTCAGAGGGGCATGTCGTCTGGCCCATTAATTTCATTTCTAGAAATTTATCCTGATGAAATAATTCCTGCAAGGTTTTATCTATGAAGATATTTGCCTAGAAAAAAAATTGGAGCTTAATTGTCTAACAATGGGATTGATTAAGTAAGGTAGCTGTGTCCCTAAGGTGAAAGTTTATGTACCTATTTAAACAATGACATGTGGAAGGAAGTTAGCGGTCTGGGAAACGTTTAGCATATAAGTGAAAAATGCAGGTTACAAAATGAGATGATTTTCTTTTTGTTGTTCTGATTTGTTGAATTTTCTCTTCAATGACCATATTTTTGTTTACAAATAGGAAAAAATACTGACCGTCACAATGTCATTTTAAAAAAGGAAAACCAAGGGACTTCTGCCAAGATGGAGGCATAGGTGGATGTGCCGTGCCTTCTCACACAACCAAGTTTAGAGACAACTAAATATTAGCAACAGAAAACACAGCCAGAACACGGAAAATTGAACTTTTCGGAAGTCCGTTAACAACAAATTCTTCAGCCTGACCAGTAAGGGGCAAAACCAGCGGCTGGTGAATCGGGGTTGCACAGGAAAACTCGGTCAGACAGACTCAGGCGTGGAATCCAGACGTGCGGAATCTAGGCGCAGGGTTGGACCTAGTGAGTGACCGCGTGAGCGACCAGGCAAGCGACCGTGGGGGAGACAGCGGGGGAGCGGTGCTGCGTGTTGACAGTGGTCACGCATTTGTGTGCGGGTGGACAGGCGAGGGAGTGAGCGGTTGGACCGGGGCCCGGTGGGTCCCCGCGGCAAGCGGCAGTGGAGGGCGCCGCCATTTCCCTGCTCTGACCTCACCTCCACATACAGCGACATAACCCAGCGACTCTGAGTGGCCCGGCCCAGGTGAACCACTTCAGGCCCTGCTCCTCACCCAGATGCGAGAAACAGCAGAGGGGGTCGCCATTTCCCCGCTCTGACCACGCCCCCACATACAGCGTCACAACCCAGCGACCTGGGAGTCCAAGGCGCTGCTTCTCACACTTAAAGGGCGCGAACAGACCAAAAATGGCACAAGAAGATCTCAAAGCCCCAGAACCTATAGATCTAAGCGAGGAAGAAATAGCAAAACTCTCAGATGCACAGTTTAAAACACTGGTGATCAGGATCCTCACAGAACTGGTTGATTATAGCCACAAATTAGACAAATATATGAAGGCGAAACTAATTGAAATGAATGGAATCGCACAGGAAACCAATAGCGATGAAAAGGAAATTGGGACTCAAATCAATGGAGTGGACCAGAAGAAAGCAAATAATGGCCAAACAGAAAAGAATCAAGAAGCAAGAATTCAAAGAAATGAGGAGAGTCTTAGGAACCTCCAGGACATCTTTAAATGCTCCAACATCTGAATTATAGGGATACCAGAAGGGGGAAAGGCACAGCCACCAGTGGAAAACTTATTTGAACAAATAATAAAGGAGAATTTCCCCAATCTGGCAAAAGGAAATAGACTTCCAGGAAATCCAGGAAGCTAAGAGAGTCCCAAAGAAGTTGGACCCAAGAAGGAACACACCAAGGCACATCATCACTACATTAGCCAAGATTAAAATGAAGGAGAGAATCCTAGAAGCAGCAAGAGATAAGGGGACAGTCACCTACAAAGGAGTCTCCATCAGACTGTCAGCAGATTTCTCAAAAGAGACCTTACAGGCAAGAAGGGG